CCTCTCCTCTCCTCTCCTCTCCTCTCCTCTCCTCTCCTTTTTTTGGGGGGGGGGGTCAAGGATCACACTTTGTAATGTTCAGGACTTACTTCTGGCTCTGCACTCAGGGATCATTCTTGGTGGTGCTGGGGGACCATATGGCATGCCAAGGATGAAAACCAGGTCAATTGAGTACAAGGTGAAAACCCACTGTACTGTCTCTCTGGCCCCACACTTTCCCCCCCTTAACACTTAATACATGAGCAAGTCCGATAAGAATGTTACTGGCAGTGAAGCAGGAGGATGGAATGAAAGATCGTAGAGGGAATGTAGTCATATAGTCTGTTGAAGAGACTGGTGAAATAAATAAAAAGCAGAGCTCTAGAATACCTCCAAATCCTCCCAAGGAACTTTGTGTGATATACCTTCTCAAGGTGGGCAGAAAGTTGAATGAATATTTGTGAACATCCAGCAGACACATACAAGGGGAAAAAAAGGGCCTCCTTACTGAAGAAAAGAGGAATTCTAGCTCTGCAGAAAGTTGTGGGGAGTTCTGAGTTTGTGTCATATTTCCAGCATTCACACACAATCAATTGCAAACATGCAATACACCCTTGAAAGCAGACAATCAATAGGATTGTACTTTTACACTTGTACCACTTAAGAGGAAAAGGGTGCTTCCCAACATTGATGCAGGAGAAATTCCACCGAAGAGAAACATATGACAATGAGAAAGGAAATCTAAAGTTCAGCTTATGAATCTCTTTCTCTTTCTCTCTGTCTCTCTGCCTCCCTGTCTGTCTCTCTGTCTCTCTGTCTCTCCGTCTCTCTCTCTCTCTCCTCTCCCTCCTTTCCTTCCTCTATTGCTTTTGGGATAAACCTTGCATATTGCTCAAGGAATCATACTGTGCTGGGGATTGAACTAGGCTCCTGAATGTCAAGTATGTGTACCAGCCCTCTGAGCTATCGCTCTGGCACCTCCTGAGATTTGCTTAATCAATAAACAGCAGTGATATCTTTATCAGTGTGGATGGGATTTCAAAATACAGCTATTGGAGCCAAAGTGGAATAGAATCTTTTCTGTCTGCTGTACTGTTGTTTCTCTTCTCCTGCTGCAGTGCACTCTACTGAAAAAAAATCTGTATAAAATGTTTAAAATTATAAGTATGACTTAAAAACTATAAGTATAATAATTTAATTATGCAAGGTGGGAGACCAGAGAGACAGTAGAGGGGTTGTGGAGCTTGTCTTGCATGTGACAGACCCCTGTCCAATCCCCTGCATCACATACGATTACCTGAGCACTGGCAGGAATGGCCACTGAGAACAGAATCAGGAATAAGCCCTGAGCACCACTGGATGTAGCCCCCAAGCACAAAAAGCCCAAATGCATATGAACATATATACACATATATATTTATATGTATGTGTTCATTTATATTTATGTGTATGCGTGTATGGAAGGATAACTTTGAATCATGATCCGTATTCTAATGATCCTTGTCTAAAGTTTGAGATAACTCCAGAAAGTGTTTGCACTTATAAGGTCACACTAAGGGCTAGCTCTGAGAAGATAGCAGAAGCCTTTTGTGGCTCCCACTACAATAGCTGTGATGATGAGGTCATAGATTGCATCACCATGTGAATGCCAAAAACTCCCAAAGAGGCACTCATTCATTATCTTGGACCTCAGATCCTTTAGAAACATTATCTGTGGTGAAGAGAGAAATCAGAACCCACCAAAGGACTAACTGATGTCATGATCACTGAATGAGTCACTTGTGACGGGAACAACGGCCCTCCATTGGAATGGGTTCCATGCCAAGAGTAGCTCCCCTTTTCCTTCTTGCCTGAAAGCATGGGCGGCTGAAATCTGAAACTGGTTAGAATGTTCATTCCCCCAAGAGTTTTGGCTTCATTTCCTGTCAACACTCAACTGGAACACTTGGCAAAGTGGTCATATGTTACCTCATAAGTATAAACGATTCCTATTTCTTCTTTCTGTAGAGGGTACTGTAGCGACCAAATAGGAACCACGATTAAGAAGCCTGAAAGGGGTGTGTTTTGGGGGCCAACTGGGGTGCAGTATTGGATTTAGTAGTAAACTGGATATTAATGGAAATAAATTAGTCCCTGTTAATTGGAATAATGCCAAATATTGTGAAATTTTCTTCTCTTTCTCCCCTTTCTTTTTATTTGTCCCTCAGTTCCCCCAGTCCAGTTTAAGGGTGCCCATAAACCCGTCTTTTGTCACTCCTGCCAATTCTACCTCCCTATCCCCTTCTACGCCTCCATAGACATAAAAAAGGATTTCAACTTTTATTTTCTCAAGGGCCTGTTTTCTGGAACTGACTAATAAAATAATTCATTTCATTTCAAAAACACATTATAAATGTCTTATTGTGTTCTATTTCTCAGGAAGCTTTCCTGTTGAAACCAGAACTTCCTGGAGCTTACTGGAGGAAATTCTATGCACCTGCACTGGATCTACTTCTATGATTCCAAAAACCCAGGGCTATAAAACACCATAGATTTGATGACCATGTAAGGAGGTTAGCTTCGTTCTACAAAATTTGCACATGTATCTTTTATGCCTCACAATAATTACATTCCTCTTTGGTCTTCATTGTGTAATTGTACAGGGGTGGAAAAACTTTCCTTCTCTCCTAGGTTCAATAGCTGGTCTATGAAATTGAAAACAGATATGTTAACAGGAAAAAAGTTTAAGTTAATTAAGTTAATTTTTTAATGAAAAAAGTTTAAACAAGTTTAATCCTTTTTAATATGACATGGTCAGGGAATCAAATACACAAAAAGGGGTTGAGATGGAAGTTAGCAAAGAGGAAATGATAACTTCCGCTCATTTTTGGTAGAACTGCATATGGAGCTAACATATCACACATGCAAGGCACTGAGCTTAACACTGAGCTCCATCCCTGGCCCAGAGAGAATATTTGGGGGCAAGTGAAAGGCCCTTCGAGGAATAGATGGGACAGATGATGAAACTCTGGGGAGGAAATCTATGACAGTGGCAATCATTTTGAAGTATGTATGTGGAGGCAGATGAGTAAAATTCAGAAAAAGCCTTTCTCTTAATTTGCCATTTTTCAAGATCCTTCAGATAAAAACAAACTGTCTATTGAAAGTTACATATTTGGGGGATGGCGTGTCCTAAATTTCAACAATAAAGGAATAGCAGAACTCACATTTGCTGTAATTTGTGTTCCTAGCTTAGCAGCAAGCTCAACTTGGATTCCTATTTGTAAAATAGATTAGTCTTCCAAAATACATTGAAATCTTGTGTTGAAGCTCTAAGAGAAAAATAGAAGAAATGTGTATGGAATTATTTTCAGTGAAACAGGTGTTCATCATTAGAGAAATGGACCAAATTTTCATAATTTCTCATAAAGCAGGAACCTTACTGGAAAGTTCCCCATGTAGAAATAGACTGCAGATATGTACTGTTTTCCCATCTCAAAGTTCAAAATAAGCTTATATGGTTTCAAATTCCTCTGGAAAGCTGGACTACTTTGATATACACATATCTCGCCACTCCTGCCAATAAGTTGCGTTGGTATACTGGCTATTTTGAGCTGAAGTTACTTGGAAATCAACTAACGCATAGTGGTTTTCTCAGAACTTCCCTTCTCTCCCTTCTCTTCTCCTCCAGAATCCAAAATGAACATCATTATCATCAATCCCTATCCTCTCCACACAGGAATTCATCAACCAGGAAAAACGAGGGAAGTCAGGACACAGATAACAACCCCCAGGCAATCATACTGCCCATCATTTTTCACATGATCCTTTCCTCTTTCATCTTTAAAAAAAGACAGTTCACAATAAAGCGTGTTGGGAGGATCCTCCCAGGATGGGAGAAGCATGCTAAAAGTAGACTACAGACCAAACATGATCGCCACTCAATGCCTCTTTTGCAAACCACAACACCCAAAAGGAGAGAGAGAACAAAAGGGAATACCCTGCCACAGAGGTAGGGTGGGACGGGGGGATGGGAGGTGGGAGGGATACTGGGACCCATGGTGGTGGAAAATGGGCACTGGTGGAGGGATGGGTGTTTGATCATTGTACAATTGAAACCCAAGCACAAAAATTTGTAAATCTACAACTGTACCTCATGGTGTTTCACTAACAAAAATTTAAAAGAAAAATGTAAATGATGGAGAATGGGCACTGGTGGAGGGATGGGTACTGGATCGTTGTATAACTGAAACCCAAGCACAAAAATTTGTAAGTCTACAACTGTACTTCATGGTGTTTCACTAATAAAAATTTAAGAAAAATAAAAAAAAGACAGTTAATTTTCCCTATGCTGCCTGTTTTTCCCTTTTTTCTATAAGATTGCCCTAGAGAAGAGTCAACTTTTTACACAAGTTGGCAAATCCCACAACCATTTCCAGTGGTCTTTTTTTTTTCTGGGACTCTGCCCCCCATACATGTAACATTGAAATGAATAAATTCTCTTCTGCTAATCTGTTGGTGATTCTTTTACATAGGCAGAGGTGTTGAAGCTGGGAGAGTAGAAGAGAAGTCTCCTTTGAGTTTTTATCTGCATAGAGGTCTCAGGCTCTTTGCACTTGCTGTTTTCTCTTGCACTTGCTGTTTTTCTCACCTTACTACTTACTGATCAATATTCAGATCTCTATGCACAAGATCTTTAATATGAGCATATATCTTTTCCATTTTTTCTATCTTGATTTTCTTACAGCATTAATCTCAGATGATCATTACCAATGGAAATTATTTACTTACTGAATAAATTCGTTATTATCTCTATCCCATCACTAGTCATCTCCATGAAACAGGACTCACTCTGTATCCTTTGTCTGCAGAATACATGGTACATGGTACCTACTAATGAGTAGGTTAGATGGATGACACAACTGAGTGAAGGAAGAAAGATACTCTCACTGTCACTGTCATCCCGTTAATCATGGATTACTGGAACGGGCTCCAGTAGCATCTCCATTTGTCCCAGCCCTGAGATTTTAGCATCATAAGCTTTATGCTCTCTCTCCGCGGATGTGGCGCGCCAGCTGGATGTCCTTGGGCACAATGGTGATGCACTTGGTGGGGAATGCGCAGAGGTTGGTGTCCTTGAAGAGCCCCACCAGGTAGGCCTCACATGGCTCCTGCAGCACCGTGACCACCGAACTCCGGGAGTGCAGGTCGGTCCTGAAGTCCTGTGCGATCTCGTGTACCAGCCGCTGGAACAGCAGCTGGCAGATCTCCCGTAGCACCAGAGTGTCGGGCCAGTAGGGGTGCGGCTTCTTCACATCACCCGTGGCTGGTGCACTCTTGTGGGTCACCTTGGTGGTCAGCTGCTTACAGGTCGCCTTCCTGCCGGTTGATTTGCATGCTGTCTGTTTAGTACGAGCCCTCTCGTTCTTCCCAACTCAGTTGAAGACTCCTTAGGGTTAGGGAAATGAGACCCAATTTAACTACTGTTGTTGGCATATTTGTACGTCATGGATGGCTTGTCAGGTTCTGCCGTTTGGGCTGGGTACCCTTGGTAGCTCGGAAGGAAGATAAACCTTTGTTAATGACATGTCAAAGTTTGCAAAGAACAAACAATAGCTGATCCCCACTTCCCCTGGTATGTGAGGATTTTTCACATAAATTTTAATTTAATTTAATTTAATTTTTTAAGTGCTGGGGATTGAATCCCAGCAGGGCAAGGAATTTACTATTGAGCCAGAACCTAGTCCTATTTTAAATGAAATTTTAATCTAATCACTACGTTTGAAATTTTAAAATGGCAAAAAAGAAAACAAAGCAAATAAAGTATCTTTAAAAATGAAGAAAATAACAGTATTTGAGGAATTCAGATGCTTACAGTTCTGTTTACTGAACTAGTTAGGTTAATCCTATAAAGTGATTTATTTTACACAGGTGAGGCAGTAAAGATCAGCAAAAAAGAAGTTTGCCCCTTTAAAATTCTAAGTGATCAAATATTCTTTAAGCATCTCCAAGTAAAACTTAAGTTATTGAAGAAAATTGCCTGGCTCTCAATCAGAGTGTGTGTTCTGACATGGAGCAGAAGTCTTCTCTCCTTTTGTTTAAGTGAATAACCAGCAGACAGAAACCTAATGACCCTCTAACAAGTGTGTTTATTATCCATATTAATTACTCTCCCCATTACAGGAAAATTGACTGTTTTCCCATTCAATTTTCAAAAATGTTTATTTATGCATAGTTTTTAAGTTATTTTATGAAAAATTTAATATGAAAGAATATTAATATTTTTCTCAGCTAAATTTATTAAATCAGAGAGCATTTAGAAGCGGAAGAAAATTTGCAATAGGCCATATTTTTACATTTCTATCTTGTGGCAGATTGAGTTTTTCATACTAGAAATCAATTTTCCAAATCTATCTTTGGACCTGTCCAACTCTCTAGAGAAAACAGCTTGAAGGACATGATACTTCATCTGTAGTGGAAAATGTGGTTTCTTATTTCTACTGAAACAAGTGACTTCCGTTGTATCTTACAAAAGTACAGTAAAAAAAAAAATCCAACTTGCTCCATTCAGTTCTGAAATAAACCCTTAAGAATAAACCCTTGATTTGGGAAGCTTTCTTGGTTATTTCTTGGCTTCTCTGGTTGAACGAAATAAAAATCCGTTGGTGGTTCTCAATGATGTCAAACATCCAAATTTGAGCAAATGTGTGATCTGAGCTTAAAAAAATTTTTTTTTCATGAAAGAATTTAATTCTTATATACATTCCCGACTTTGAACTTCAGGAAAATTATTATTCTGCTTGAGTGGCTAAAAAAATCTTGGCCCTGGGCGTTTGAACTATAATCACTCAGAAATGCATGACCTGTTATTTCTTATTCCCTTTCCCCAAGTAGTTTTCTTTATAATAATTGAATTATCCATTCAGAACTCTTGGTTCTGTTACATATTCAAAGAGATGTTATAGATCTACAATTACTTGAATGGCTAACTATGTCAGCTAGAGATTATTTACTACAAACCTTAAGTTTCTTTTTGTGTAATATTTTCTGCATTAGTACTTATTTTGTTATTTTTTTAATTATTAAACCCATGACTGAATATTTTGATAGAAATCACTGCAAGAAAGTAGGAAAATGGCAGAGTTTTTAGTTGAGTACGAGATGATACTTCTCCCTTCCCCCTTAAACTGACCTTATTGGCAAGATAAGAAGTTTGAATGTAGTCATCCTCAAGACTCAAGAATTATTCCAGCTTTGGGGCTGGAGCTATAGCACAGCGGGTAGTGCATTTGCCTTGCAATCGATCGACCTGGGTTCAGAGTAATTCCTGAGTGCATGATCCAGGAGTAACTCCTGTGTATTGTCAGGTGTGACCCAAAAAGAAAAAAAAAAGCAAAAAAATAATTATTCCAGCTTCAACTTTTTATGCTTCTGTACTTCTAACAATATTATTCTATATGACTTAGCAGGGTTCCACTGGTTACTAGGTTAGCACCCGCCAGTGACCTAGGTAATAACCCTAAAGTCCTTGGCCTCTCAGCCAAAAGCTCTAAGAGTTTGAATCCTTCTTACTGATCCTGCCACCACAATCAATCAGTGGTGTCAAATACTCAGAGACCTGCAAATGGCACCTGAGGAACCAAATTCACTGAAGTGAGCATCCTTATTCCATCCCTGTATCCTGGTCCACTTCTACACCTTCTCAAATCCATCTGTAACTTCTGCTTCTTCCGCCTGGCTGTGCATGTGATAGTCACAGTCACATGCTGTTAGGATTTTAATCATCTCTCCCACTGACGCCAGGCACCAGAGACCCTGAACTAAACTTGCAAGACTCATCTTTCTTTTCCATTAGAATGAGGGCTGTTCTGATGCATGTTAGTAACAATAAAACCTCTGTTATGCCCCTCCCTTGACAAAAGAACATTGCAGATGAGTTAGTATTCCAGTGGGTTACAATGAATGAATAGAATCTACATATAGAGTCTGAATAACACTGTTAGGTATGCCAGCTCTGTGCTTGCTAACTAAATGGTTTTGGGCAGATTACTTGCTTTTTTAATTTTTTCGCTTTTAGTTCTGAATTTGAAAGAGGGAGGGAATGAAATGATCAAGGAGGTTTTAAAAAACTAATACATATGATGTGCTTAGATATGTGATTAGGCCATGGAATGGTTAGCTGTTATTATTCTCTGCATTGTATTGTTTTTTTCCCAAAGATTGCTCAGTTCTCTCTGTGCTATTCTCTTCTGGGAGCTGGGTTTTATAGTCCCTGGGTCTTGGCCATTGATGGGATTACATGGCGCCGGGGTGGGGGGGGGCATTTGGTGGGTGTGACCCCTGCCTATAAAACCTATAAAACCCAGCTCCCGGAAGAGAACAGTGCAAAAGCGCAGAGTCTCCTGCCCCCGTGCCTGGCTGTTCTCACCAGGGTCCCTTGGAGGGGGGTGGGTTGAGTTTCCCTCCCCTCCCGAGCAGAGCCCTGGCAGTCGAATACCTCCAGAACCAGCCACAACCATGCTGAGACCACTCTCCACAAGCATGAAGGTACCAGCAGAGGAACAAAGGCATGCAGGTCCCGGGGCAGAGATCTCCAAGCCTGCTCAGATCGGGGCTGAGCATCCTCCACCCAGATCCTCCATCTTCCAGTAGGCAGGGGTCACACACACCAACTGGCCCCCAGGGCCATGTAATCCCATCAATGGCCAAGACTCAGAGACTTTAAAACCCAGCTCCTGGAAGTGTGCGGCTACATTCGCAGCCGCGCAACATCTTATTATCTCATTCTTACTTTGGACAACTTGGCAGGCTACCAAATGTAACCTGCCCTCACAGCAGAGTCTGGCAAACTCCCCGTGGCGTACCCAATATGCCAAATACCAGTAACAATGATGGGTCTCATTCTCCTAACCCTAAAAGAGCCTTGAACATGGCACTTTTTAAAATCTCAGGGCTAGGGCGAAGGAGACTTTATTGGTGCCTGCTCGAGGCAATCGACGAACAACAGGATGATCGTGACCGTGATCGTGATGTGTATACTGAAAAATGTCGCTACTACATAAAGTCAATTTGTGTAGTCATCCTCACACATAGGTATCATCATTTGTGTGTACTGAGACCCCTGAAATTTACTCTCTCAGCAGATTATACAATATAGTATTGTCATGCTAGATATAGTTAGGCTCTAGCCTTAGCCATCCTGTATAACTGCTTTCTTATATTCTTCTAACAACAACTCCTCATATTTCTTCCCTCACGTCTTAGTATAGTCACCACTCTAACGTAAATATCCAGAATTTATTCATTTATAGTTGAAAGTTATACCCTTTAGACAGTATCTACCTCTATCTAGGATTCTAGAACTTCTTTGAGTTGTTATAAGGGTCACTCTCAAGGTCACATAGATGCAGGCAGATCAGTCTCCAAAGACTTACAACTAATTCCACCAGAGTGATTGCTTCTCTTTATTTTATGTATTGGGATTTTTGTTAAAAACCATCTGACTTAAAGGACCAGTGAGACAGTACAGCAGGTTAGGTGCTTTCCTTGCATATGGCTGACCCAGGTTTGATTACCTGTACCCCACACGGTTCCCCTACCCCCACCAGGAGTGATTTCTGAGCTCAGAGCCAGGAGTAAGCCCTGAGTACTGCTGGATGTGTTGTGCACATGCACACAGACACACAGACACACAGACACACAAAATCTGACTTAACACAAATAGCTTTATTGTACAGCTGAAGAAATAGAAATCTCAGAAAGGTGAATTGATAAGCTTAGGACACAACACAAACCAGAAATAAAACCCAGGTTTCCTGAGTGCCCAGTAAACCACATTCTAAACCATGTTACCATGGAAACTTTCAATAGATGAAGAAAAAACAAACTCACAAACAACAACAAAAACTCCCCAGCTTATCTTATCTTTAGGAAATACCTACACTTTTTTTTTTTGCCAAGAATGGTTTCTTCTACTTGATAAAAGAGGTAGAGATTAAACTTTAAACCAAAGAAACTAAAATTTAGAGATTAAATATGATATCAGAAATTGGGTATTTAGATTGCTTTGTAAAATCTTTAGAACTTTAATAGAATTTAACTTCCTCATGTATAGAAAAATGAATAATTGCCTTTTAAAGGAAACATTCCAAAGGCCAAACAATTCATACATGTCAAGCACCATGGGATTTAGGGATGAAAAATTCCCTATAGTTCTAAAGCAAGCATTATAATTTGAAGTTTCCTGACAGTTTCTGCAAGAAAAGAAGCACTAACCTTTCTTTTCCAGGCCAGATGCCAAGTTAGGTAATTACCTTTTGCCCACTTTCTCTCCCCAAGCTGTTTAATTAGATAAGAACTCTGCCTTCATTTCCTTTTGTGGACTGATTTGAGATGTTGCCACATGCCTTTCAACAACTGTTAATGCCCTAGGAT